TAAGAATAAATGGATCTTCAAGAGGGAGACGGGCGCTGATAGTAGTGTTACTATCTACAAAGCTAGAATTGTCGCAAAAGGTTTTTCGACAAGTTCAAGGTATGGACTACGATGAGAGTTTCTCACTCGTATCTATGCTAAAGTCTGTCCGAATCATGTTAGCAATTGCCGCATTTTATGAAATCTGGCAAATGGATAAACAAAATTGCATTCCTTAATGAATTTATTAAAGAAGAGTTGTATATGATGCAACCAGAAGGTTTTGTCAAACCTAAAGGTGCTAACAAAATATGCAAACTCCAGCGATCCATCTATGGACTGGTGCAAGCATCTCGGAGTTGGAATACACGCTTTGATAAGTTGATCAAAGCATACAGTTTTATACAGACTTGCGGTGAAGCCTGTATTTACAAGAAAGTGAGTGGGAGCACTACAACATTTCTAATAAGTATATGTAAATGACATATTGTTGATCGGAAATAATGTAGAATTATTCTGCAAAGCATAAAGGAGTGTTTGAAAGGAGTTTTTCAAAGAAAGACCTCGGTGAAGCTGCTTACATATTGAGCATCAAGATCCATAGAGATAGATCAAAACGCTTGATAAGTTTTTTTAATGAGTACATACCTTGACAAGATTTTGAAGTAGTTCAAAATGGAACAGTCAAAGAAAGAGTTCTTGCATGTGTTACAAGGTGTGAAGTTGAGTAAAGACTCAAAGCCCAACCACGGCAGAAGATAGAAAGAGAATGAAAGTCATTCCCTATGCCTCAGTCATAGGTTCTATAAAATATGTCATGCTGTGTACCAGAACTATTGTATACCCTACACTATGTTTAGCAAGGGAGTACAATAGTAATCTAGGAGTAGATCACTGGACAGCAGTCAAAATTATCCTTAGTGGAATAAGGATATATTTCTCGATTATGGAGGTGACAAAAGGTTTGTCGTAAAGGGTTACGTCGATGCAAGTTTTGACACTAATCCAGATGACTCTAAGTCTCAATCTGGATACATATTGAAAGTAGGAGCAATTAGCTAGAGTAGCTCTGTGCAGAGCATTGTAGACATAGAATATTTGCAAAATACTTACGGATCTGTATGTGACAGACCCGTTGACTAAAATTATCTCACAAGCAAAACATGATCACACCTTAGTACTCTTTGGGTGTTAATCACATAGCGATGTGAACTAGATTACTGACTCTAGTAAACCCTTTGGGTGTAGATCACATAACGATGTGAACTATAGGTGTTAATCACATGGTGATGTGAACTATTGATGTTAAATCACATGGCGATGTGATCTAGATTATTGACTCTAGTGCAAGTGGAAGACTGACGGAAATATGCCCTAGAGGCAATAATAAAGTTATTATTTATTTCCTTATATCATGATAAATGTTTATTATTCATGCTAGAATTGTATTAACCGGAAACATAATACATGTGTGAATACATAGACAAACAGAGTGTCACTAGTATGCCTCTACTTGACTAGCTCGTTGATCAAAGATGGTTAAGTTTCCTAACCATAGACATGAGTTGTCATTTGATTAACGGGATCACATCATTAGGAGAATGATGTGATTGACATGACCCATTCCGTTAGCTTAGCACCCGATCATTTAGTATGTTGCTATTGCTTTCTTCATAACTTATACATGTTCCTATGACTATGAGATTATGCAACTCCCGTTTGCCGGAGGAACACTTTGTGTGCTACCAAACGTCACAACATAACTGGGTGATTATAAAGGATCTCTACAAGTGTCTCCGAAGGTACATGTTGGGTTGGCGTATTTCGAGATTAGGATTTGTCACTCCGATTGTCGGAGTGGTATCTCTGGGCCCTCTCGGTAATGCACATCACTTAAGCCTTGCAAGCAATGCAACTAATGAGTTAGTTGCGAGATGATGTATTACGAAACGAGTAAAGAGACTTGCCGGTAACAAGATTGAACTAGGTATTGAGATACCGACGATTGTATCTCGGGCAAGTAACATACCGATGACAAAGGGAACAACGTATGTTGTTATGCGGTTTGACCGATAAAGATCTTCGTAGAATATGTGGGAGCCAATATGAGCATCCAGGTTCCGCAATTGGTAATTGACCGGAGACGTGTCTCGGTCATGTCTACATAGTTCTCGAACCCGTAGGGTCCGCGCGCTTAAAGTTTTGATGACAGTTATATTATGAGTTTATGAGTTTTGATGTACCAAAGGAGTTCGGAGTCCCGGATGAGATCGGGGACATGACGAGGAGTCTCGAAATGGTCGAGACGTAAAGATTGATATATTGGACGACTATATTCGGACATCGGAAAGGTTCCAAGTGATTCGGGTATTTTCGTAAGTACCGGGGAGTTACGGGAATTCGTATTGGGCCTTAATGGGCCATACGGAAAAGGAGAGAAAGGCCTCAAAGGGTGGTCGCACCCCTCCCCATGGGCTAGTCCGAATTGGACTAGGGAGGGGGGCGCCCCCTTCCTTCCTTCTCTTTTTCCCTTCCCTTTCCTTCCCTCCTACTCCTACTACTTGTAAGGGCTCCTAGTTCTACTAGGAAAGGGGGAATCCTACTCCTGGTGGGAGTAGGACTCCCCTAGGATGCGCCATAGAGAGGGTCGGCCCTCCCCCTCCTCCACTCCTTTATATACGGGGGCAGGGGGCACCCCATAGACACAACAATTGATCATTGATCTCTTAGCCGTGTGTGGTGCCCCCTCCACCATAATCCTCGATAATATTGTAGCACTGCTTAGGCGAAGCCCTGCGTCGGTAGAACATCATCATCGTCACCACGCTGTCGTGCTGACGGAACTCTGCCTCAAAGCTCGGCTCGATCGGAGTTCGAGGGACGTCATCGAGCTGAACTTGTGCAGAACTCGGAGGTGCCGTGCGTTCGGTACTTGTATCGGTCGGATCGTGAAGACATATGACTACATCAACCGCGTTGTCATAACGCTTCCGCTATCGGTCTACGAGGGTACGTAGACAACACTCTCCCCTCTCGTTGCTATGCATCACCATGATCTTGCGTGTGCATAGGAAATTTTTGAAATTACTACGTTCCCCAACATTTTGCTGTCAGCAGGGAGCTCCAGTTTGTACGCCGCGGGTCCGATCCTGGCGAGGGCGGAGAAAGGGCCAAATAACTTGAATGCAAGCTTCGGACAGGGGCGACTCGCCACAGACTTCAGCACATACGGTTGCAGCTTCAGGGACACCCGCTCCGTCCGATTCAGGTCCGCGAATTTCTTGTGCTTGACTTGCGCTCGTGCCAGGTGTGCACGTAGGTTTTCTTGATGCAAAGACTAGTCCCACTGCTCACCGTCCGGCAAGGCTGGCTGGGATGCCGGCCAGGTGGCCATGCTCCCCTCGTTGGCTTCGACCCCGTACAGAGCTTTGAAGGGAGAGCAACCGAGTGAGGAGTGGAACAAGGAATTGTACCAGAATTCAGCAGCGGGAAGCCAACGATGCCATTGCTTGGGAGTGTCATGAACGACACAATGCAAGTACATTTCCGTGCACTGGTTGACGCGCTCACTTTGGCCATCCGTCTGGGGGTGATACGTCGTGGAGTAGAGGAGCTTGGTGCCGGCGTCGGCCAACAGTTCGCGCCACAGCGCACTGGTGAAGATCTTGTCGCGATCTGACGATGGATTTGGGGATGTCGTGGAGCTTGACGATGTTGTCCCAGAACACGTGCGCCACTTGCGTCGCCGTGAACGGGTGCCGTAAGGGCACAAAGTGAGCAAACTTTGTGAAGCGATCGACAACCACCATGATTGCATCATACCCCTCAGACTTGGGCAATCCTTCGACGAAATCCACGGTCTTGCCATGATTGCACGCACTTACAGCTAGCTCACACATGCACTCTACGCTTGGCACTGCCAATTGGCAGTCACGCGGTGGTGCCTTGCACTACCGTGGTGACACCGAGATATTTAGTTTTGACAAGAACAACAAACTGGTAATCGAAAATAGAGACGGCGAGTTGGGGCAATAGCAGAAAAGCCACCGTGAGTGATCTCCATTGAAGCTATGGAGCAAAAACTTACTACCACCGGCAACCACATTAGTAGAGTTCAATAGAGTAGAGAAAACCACACATAATTCAGTGGGTGAATTGATTAAATTTAAGTTAAACACATCCGTGGATGACTCAAATTGTTTAAGGCAAGACACGTGAAATCTGATAAGTTGCTCCCTCAAATCCACAATACAGAAGAACCCCGCTTCCCTCCTTGACTCCTCTTCTAAGGACTTCCTTTGTCAATAAAGAAGAAAAATACCCCCCCCCCCTTCCCCAAATTGATCGATCCATTTGCTCCTAGGTCTTTGGTGAGGCCATTGCAAGCCCCAATGGCAAGGCCAAGACCAACCGTCTCCTAAGGATTTCAGGGTTTAACACATGATGAAGGAGTTAATACATTATATTTTAGGTGTCGCGTTTATTTTAACATGTTAAATGGCCAGCACCAACATGACGTGTTTAATATTCTATCGCAAGCCTATCTAACTCAAAAAGCATGCGCTCATATAGCCCATCACAATTACTACAACAAGTATTGAAGATGTATCCAAGATTTGGGCCTTTTAAAGGCAATACTTTGACACATCTTCTTGTGAAAGAAAAGGACAAAAGAAGAGAAAAAACAAAGATAAAAATAAGCAAATAAAATGCAATCCTATAGAACAAAAGGGCAATGGACATATAAAAAAGGGAAAATGAAAGGAATAGAAAATAAAATATAAAAACAAGAAAAAGGAAACAAGTTTTTTTTTGGAGAAAGAGGAAAAAGGAAACAAGTAAGGAGAACGACATGGAAAGAACAAAAAAAGATGATCAAAACAAAGAAAAACAAAAAAAAAGGAAGTCATCTAATGGGCCGGCCCAAGAAGTGAAACAGAGGTAGGGTTCCATCCCGCAACAGAATTCCGTCCCCAATCCCCCAAACCTCTGTCGCTGGGTCTCCGGCGAGCTCTCCGGCCATGGCCAACCTGAGAGCCAACGCCAGCACCGGCCATCTCCGCGTCTACGGTACGTCGCTGTCTGATGATGGCGCCCTGCCGTGGGAGGAGAGAGAGCAGGACACATCACTCCTCCTCCGCAAGATCGAGCTCCACCGCGACGAAGCCGTCAAGCTGCTCGCCTCGCACCCCGATCTGCGACGGTTCCTCGATGCGGCGACCTGCGTCGGCCTGCTCGATCCGGTCTCCAACATAGTCGTCAGCGCCATGCTTGCCGCCGCCGCCGCAGATCCCGTCGACGGGGCCTCCGCGCTCGTCGGCGTCGACAAGGACATGAAGCAGCGCTCCCTCGATGGCCTCGTCGCCTTCCTCACATGCTTCTTCCCTCACCTCACCGACTGGGAGGCCGTCAGGTACCTTGTCCTCGCCGAAGCCGACCCCCTCGTTGCCGCGCGCATCGTCGTCGAGGACCGCCGCACCAAGTGCTTCCGCCCAGGCTCCGCGGCCACCAACGGCGCCCTCAGGCTCGCTCTCAAGTGCGCAATGGTCGCCGCCAAGCATCCGTGTCCCTCCGAGCTCGCAGGCGTTTGGCTGTCCTTGTGCTCCTCCCTTGACACCCTTGAGAAGGCCGTCTCCTTGCTCAATTGCCCCGGCGACATCCTCCACACTCTGGCCAAGCAGATGCCAGATGTCCCTTGTCCTGCTCCAGATGCCATTGGGAGCAGCCTCATCAGGCCATGGGAGCTTGCCGCCCGTCGCTGCAGTGAGCACGCCGCCAAGGTGACCCACCAGTATTCCTGGTCACTAAGGCGAGTGCTCCTACATACAATCCATGGTTTCTACCTGCAGGCACTCGCCAGGATGCCGGGCGGCGAACTGCGGTCTCGTTACCACCGTAGCATGCTCAAGGCTGGCCATTGCTACGGCCCTTTTGATCCTGTCACCAATATCATCGTCAACACCATCTGGTACGAAGTCACATTCCCACCACTGAGTCAACTGGACGAGCTCAACATTCTTGGCACCTTGGACCTGATGCGGATTGAAGCACAATCCTTTTACGGACTTGTCTCTTTCCTCTGCACCCATGACAAAGATCTCAACGCCGATCAGGCCATAAGGATCCTGCTCGACACGGATCTCAACTTGGCCGCGACAAAGCACCAGACCAGTGTCCAGGATGAACAAGAAGCCTTCAAGGCTGCTGCAACTGCGGCATGGCACCCCAGACCTGATGCCCAAGCAGCATTCCTCAGCTCTTGCAAGACTCCTGCAGTCCTGTCACTGCTGTCAGATAATGGGGGCCAACAACAGCTCTCTTCTCAATGTGTCCAGCAGCTTGCCATGCTATTGTCATCTGCTTTCCGTTCCACTGGCATGTTAGCCCAGCAGAAGCAACCAGTTGCCATTTATAAACGACGGTTCAATCTTACCATGTATGAGGGACGTATACAGCGAAGGGCTCATAGAAGAATCTCCAGAAAGGTCAAGGCTGCACTAAGCAGATATGAGGTGCAGAATTCGGTGAGTCAGTTTATCCCTCAGATACCTCTATATTTGTTTGTGTGCAAATTCCATCAACCAAAATCCTACTTGATCAAAACATCTGGTGGAACTTGCTACTGACCTCCTTTGATTAATTAATTTACCCCACGGACACCTAGGCACTTTTTGATAGAAATTCCATCAGTTAGAACTGCTTGATCAAAACATGTGGTGTAACTTGCTGCTACCGACCTCCATCGACGATTTCTTGTGATAAGCCCATAATGTCCATTTAGGCATAACTTTTGATTATCCTGGTGAACCGTGGCCACCACGGAACCTTGTAAACAGAGTTTGGCAAGGCCAAGAAGATTTTTGTTTCAGTGCATGATTTGAGGTAACACTTGGACCGAGGGGTTGGGTGGCAGGAAAAGCGTTGTTGGTGGGAGATGTAGAGTAGTTCACAAATAAGTAGTGCTATAAGAGCAAATGTCCTATGAGAGTGAAGTGGTTTTAAAAGATGAGCAATTAATTTTCTCTTAATTCTATGCAACATTTGCTGATTTGCTCCTTTTTTTGCCATCTTATAGGGACAAGCCTGTTATCAGCTTCATGTGGTCTGCGGTGTGAATGAATATGTATCTGGTCCTGACAAGAGTGATACTCCTGTTGAAGATGACCGCTACCATCACACACATGCCAACTTTCTGGTGACCCGGAATGTTGGCTCTGTATGTTCGGGTCCAGTACTCTTCTTTGCTGAGCTTAGCAACAAGAACGATGGCGACCAGGATTGCCAGCTTCTATGCTGCCCTGTGGAGTTTCCACTACCAGGGGCTGGTATATATATGCTCCCGTTCTTTTTTTTAAGATTCTTTTTGCATTAGATAGATAAGGTTGTTCATTAACTTTTCTGATGCTTATACCACACACGGCTATCCATATATATGATACTCCCTCCGTTCCGTATTAATTGACGCAGCCTCTATACAATGTCCATTTACATTGTATAGAGGCTGCCTCAATTAATTCGGATCGGAGGGAGTAATATATATGGTAGACTCACAGTCCTTGGAAACTATACAGTTTACATACCGCTGACACACAATCAGCTCACCAGAATCTAACTTCTGAAGTCAAGATAGAAAGGATATGTTTATATATTCTGTAGGTTAAATACCAATGTTGCCCTTTTTGTTGTTGGAAAAATCAAGTGCATGTAAATCCATGCTGTGATTACTGATTGTGGTCTGCATACGTGTGGCAGAACCAGTGCGCTGCCTTTTCTGCGAGCAAGAAGGGATCAGGATTGTACACCCTGCTAGTGGGGAGGGATTCCATGGGCACCAGGTGGAGTTTGTGAAGATGGTTCGCGGCGAAGATTTATTCGAAAATGTCGACTATCCAGAGGAGTATGACAATGATCGCATACTAACTAATAGTGAATATGTTACAAACACTGTGGCCGATGGACTGGACGAGGACTGCATGTACCTTGGTAGCGATGACTTCACCATCAAGGAATCCGACGGTCATGAGTCAGATTATTATGGAGAGGAGTAGTGATGGTGATGGGTGTCGTATTCACTTCACTGATTATCCTCGATTAAGTAGTAGCCAGTTTGTTTATTCACGGTGTGCTCCTTTTATATTTGGCAGGTCTTGTGAAACCAAACTTGAGGAAGAGGTCAATCAGTTGATGGCGATGGAGGTCGCTTGGTGGCCAGATACTTGAGGCACCTGGAGTCTTGCATGTTGCTGATGCCTGACGCAGTGCTGTAGTTTTTCTGCTCCTTGAACGTTGTGGTCCTTTGGTCTCTAGTTTTCTCTGCTGTATTGAACTATATTGTTGTGGTTGGCGTTTTCGCCCTCATTCGATGCTGATCACTAGCTTGCTGCCTGTCTTTTCCATTCTCAATCTGCTGCTCTTGTAAGAAGTAAAATCTCGGTGGAGCGATTAATAGAACAGTGGTTACCCTGGTTGGATAAAAGAAAGCTACTGTAGTATGTTTCTTTGGATTAGCAAGTCTGTTGACATATTTAGTTTGTCTCCGTTTGGTGGTCTGCAAGTTCTCCCTTGCGTGCTTATTTCATTTGGCACAGAATGTGTGGAATGCATAATTGCTCGACAAAGAAACCGTCCCCAGATTAGAATGCCTAGCATGTTACCGTTGTGTGCAACACAGAAAGCCTCGGCAAAACCGACATATCTGACCGCACCCCTGATCCAGGCCAGGCCCTACAGCGCCTAGCAGACAGGCAGGGCGCAGGCGCTATGCTCCCAAGTGCTTGAATGAAAATCTATCGAACACTGGGCGCCGGGCAAATGTCGTTTCTTTCTATGGACTGCAACCCTTGGACGCATACCTACGGCTGACCTGCTCCAACGGCGTGGATGGGATAATAACTACTTTTGCCTGCTTTGTGAACGCAGCCTTGAGACGGCATACCACTTGCTAGTTGAGTGTCCTTGGTCGCGCGGCGCTTGGGATAGACTGGCTGGGCTGGCGAATCTGCCTTCCATGCACACTGATAGTTGGGCGGCCACTAGCAACATCAAGGAATGGACGACGCCTTGCTGGAGTAAGGCCGCATATGATAAGAGGAAAGGAGTTCTATCTTTGATGCATTTAATCTCCTGGGAGATATGGCGTGAGCGCAACCCACGGATTTTCCAGGACTTACGGATGGACATGCGCACCTTCGTGCAGCAACTCAAGGACGAAATCATTATGTGGAACATGGCAGGAGCTGGAATTCCTTTTGACCCGGGTTGAGGGCCCTTTTGTACATTCTTTTCCCTTTTAATGGCATCGTTGCTTTGATGTCTTTGCCTCCCTGATCAATGAATTTGGTAGATCAACTACCAACA